CGCGACTTTGAGCCGCTTTCGCGGAAAACAGGTTTTTTAATTGTTGCATGTCGTTTGAAGAACTGTAGTCCGCGAGGGTGGACAAAATTGGCCGTTCGTTTCCTAGCCAATTTGAGTATGTGCGCTTTAGCATTAGTTTTGTACGCGCAACTGCCAAAATTACAAGCGTAGGAATTTGTTCGCAGATGTTGTCCACAGAAACATTATTGCTCTTAGTAAAACCCCGTCAGAGCATCTCCCCTAAGGCGAACCGGAGTTGATCTCTTGGCGCCTCATTCCAGCATCCAGCAAGCCATTGATCGGAAAATTTATATTCTATCAACCAGCCAAGGGTATAACGCTTCAGTAAACTTGAGGATAGAACAATATCGACTCCAGTGGTGGAGTGTTTGAGAGTCGGCGTGATGTTGGAGTGGTCAGGGGTTCAAATCCGAGAGCGCGAGAGCTTTTGCGGTGTCTTAAAGGATTTAGCTCTTGTGGAGATCATAGTCGGCAACACGTTACAAGTTGCTGCCGAAAGCAAGAAGCTGCATGTCGCTGCAAATTATTTGCTGCACTTTTTGAGACCAGAATGTTGCTGCATGCACTGTTGGTCATTGCTGCAACATAATGGAAAATGCAACATTCTGCATCTTATAACAGAGAGGCGAGAATCTTGTTGCTTATTCCAGCAACATGTTGATTGTCTCTGCAACATGGTGCAGCAGCAAGCAACATCTTACTTGGTGCAACTATGAGGCTAAGATGATCATGTTGCCGCCACATGTTGCTCATTGCTGCAACATGCTTTTGCATCGTCATCAAAAAAAAGCATACAAGATTATGGTTCGAAGATGTACCCGTAAGCAAGAGAAAGAAAAGCTGCATCTAATGCATGTTGAAACTTTTTCAGATCTTTATTGTGCGTGGTTTTACAGTGGTGTGAAAAACAGACAAAACTTTCGGAACAACCTAATATTTTGTGAAAGCGGAGGACAAGGCAGTTTCGATGGGCACTATTTCCTTGTACCAGCTATTCTTTCACGAAATTTATGGATTTTCTTATGTTGAGAAGTCGTAAGTGTCCAGAAATCACTAGGCCCTTTCATAGGTAGTTTTACGAATTGACTCTAGACAAACTATTATTCCCTGAAATCAGAGGGAAACGTTGTACCGCGAAACTTTCCTCGCTGACGTTGCTGTGCAACTACCGAAGCATCACAGCAAGCATTACATTTATCCTTTATTGCAATTTTTTATGCTTTTTGGCGATTCAATTACTCAGACTGGTTACCAGCATTTAATATGATCAACTTACTTTCTTCACAATACGTAATAACGAAATGCAACAGAAAATCCGTTGTTTCGAAAAGTTTCACTACCAAACGCAGCTCAACACTCAAGTGAAAAATTTATGCTGCTCCTTCGTTGTACTTTCGGCCTTAAAGAGAACCGCTGGTATAGAACTCTCAGAACAGAATCCATCAAAAAGCTTTGCTCTCCGAATTCTAGGAAGTGCTGAGGTGCAGGTGCGTTCATGCCCCTCCCCCTAGCCCTCAAGGGTCGACGATTTTGGGAGTGAGCGTCCTGCACCATCACCTTCACTTTCCGGAGACCCAGCTCCTCCCATCGTATCTCTGCAAACAGCCCATTAGAGCTCTTGGCTTTTTTCAAATCATACCTGGGGATGTAGTCTACCTTACCTGTCGGAGGCCTTGCCCAACTCGCGCGATCTCGCTCTCAGGTAATAGAGACTAATCTCCTCTCAAGGTCATACAAACCAAACAGAAGCACTCTTCAGGCCTAATGGTTCCGCTAAGACTAATAAGAAATCGAAAGAAATCCGAAAAATCTCGACAACTTCAGAATAAAGCCGAAAGAGAATATAGTGTGCTTTTCGAGGAGTGCAAACTGCCGCATTTTTTGCTCCTGTCATATGTCATGAGGTTCACGGCATTGCTGTAATATACTTCCGAATCTTCAAAAAAAATTTATTTTTCAAAGTTTCTTTCAGCTGAGGATCTTATGACCAAACAGGTAATGAGTAAAAATTTGCTATATGAATAAGAATTTCGTTTTAATATAGGGAAACAATGCCGCTCGCGAAATTTGAGTAGCTTTTCCGTCTTTTATCGAATTTTTTTCCTCATGTGCATTGTTATCGGTGAGCATACATGCGGCTATCCCATACTGTCGATCATTGTGTTTTGGACAAAATCAGCACCTAGGGACTAATGGGATTGCGGTCGGCAGCAACAAAGTGTAACTTCGAGTGTCGGTACAGCTGGTATGAATGCAATGCATATGTAAGCATCATATTACGCCCTAATTTCCTTGCTGATAACTACATCTGCAGAAATGTAAAATAGTTGCCGCATTAAGCGCAAATCACCTCCTTTAAGAAAAAATTTTTGTGTTGCTGGAGGGTATTGTAACACGCTCTAGCCTCATAGCAGTGACGTACTCAGGATCTCGGCTCGGGGGTTCGATGAAGGTGCATGGCGTCAGCCACGCACTCCGAACACTTTTTTGGGATGTTCCCTAAAATTTTCGCGGGCTCATAACCCCGAAATTCTAGAGAAACAGGGCTTGGCATTAGTTACGCCCCCCAAAAAAATTTTTATAAGGTTAAAATGAATTTCTGAAAATTTCAAGATTATTTTAATTATTTACAACTGCTGACAAGTCATTTGCACAATTTTATACCATGTTAGTAATTCAAAAATTTCGCGACCCGTTCTTGGAGTGGGGGGGGGCGGTGCGCCATTACCTCATAGATATACAGGATTCGCAAACAATGTGATGCCGACTATTCACAGATCTGCCTACTTGAGTTGTTTCTTATCTACCTTGTAAGCGCTGCAATGACAGTTCTAGAGTTCTTGCTTTGGTTAACCAAAATGCTCCTCATGCTCAACGTTTTCTCAGTTATTCAGGTTAGGCTATACGCAAAAACGTCACCATAGCAAGGATCGAAGAAATATTCAAAGGATTACAATTGTCGTTTGAATAATGGGCAACGAAGGGGCTTTCGCACAATAAAGGGTAGGACTCAATTTATACTATACTTGGGTCCGATTCGAGCATTCGGTTATTCGAATAGAACATTCATATTCATACATATGAATATATTCGCATCCAAAATTCGATATTCGCAGTTTTTCCAATTTTGAAATTCGAAACTCGAATATTTGAGTAAACGGGGTTTCGAATGAGATTCGAAAACTTCAATAATCAGAAAACGGGGTTTTGAATAGATTTTATTTGAATGTTTTATTTGAATTCATTCTCGAATGAACTCCGTAATCAGACTGTTCGAGTTTGTTGCAGAGCCAACTGCTGAGTATCAAGCTCGCTTCCTTTGCGTTTTCTTACGCAAAACTCGGTAACGCATCTTTTTGCAACCGTGATGACCTTTTAACTGTATGGAAAGTCGCGTTTTTCCGTTCGCTTGCAACAGTAATAAAAGGTAAGATTTTTGATTCATGCTTTTTCAAATAATGAGATAGTTCACACTGCTACTGGCACTAAATCAGCAAAACAGCTAGCCAATTCAAGCTCATGCGAGTTACTAGAAGGGTATAGACTGTGTGTATAGACTCCATCAAAAAAAACGTCCTTGCAAGCCAAATCCAATCATCATTGCATTTTATGGGCAAAGACATTTTGATATTTCCGATGACTCACAGTACTCAAAGTAAGCATTGAGTGATATTTCTAGTACAGAAAAGATGATTTCTCCGCAAAAAGAATATTTTTCACAGTTTTGCCCCCCCCCCCCATTACCGTAGACTAGCCCACGTTGACGGTACGGAGCTTTCCTGTTGGACGTCACAGACATTACTTGATGTAACTATGGGCACTCTGATACTAGTTTTTACCACAAGAT